CGGCGCCTGCCTTGGTGAAGTTGCGTCAAATTGGACCACTGTAACGGGACTATGCTTTTGTCTAATCTTTGAGGAAGAGTTTTCCATGGATCTGAAAATCTTAGTTTAAAAAATATTTCACCGGTTGGTGTGTATCTGATACCACGAACATCTGTTACTTTGGCATCGCCTTTACCACGTCCAGGACGAATATTTTTACAAAACTGTACGTTATTAAATGTTTTAAAAAAGGTATGGTCCAAATAAAAAACATCGTACGGTCTAGGTTTTTGACGAGCAGCTTTACATATATTAATATACTCTGCAGGAACAGAAATGTCTCTATTTTTCATAGATCGCTCTATGGTAGAATGAACACTATCAGCCTCCATCTGCGTGTGTCCAGGTTCTAATATTTTTTGCTCAATTATAACATTATATTTCATTGCTGTGTTTAGTAAGGCATTGCTCATGATGCAGTTGCGATTTTGATACGTGCATCCATCAGTATAAAAAATTATCTTATTTTTATCGCCAACGAGATTTGGTATAACCTTTTCAGCAAGAAAGTAAGTCCATATGCTCGCAAATTCTTCAGCACTTAATCCGCCTTCAACTTCATTCCATAAGAAGCAGAATCCGTCCTTATTTATGAGATTATAAAAAACCAAATTGTGGACTTGTAACTTTGTGCGATAATATTGACTACTGACTTGCGATTTTGGGGACATTAAAACTGCTTGAAGATCAACCGTGAATACATTTGGTTCATTATTTTTATCTTTGATTTTCTCATTCCTGGCTTCTTCTTTTTTTTCTTGGTGGAGAGCGTATTCTTTTTGTGACAAGCAGCCGGCAGAATAACGTGCACATATTTCGCATTGATCCTTTTTTGGTAAAAATAGGCTCAAATTTCTAGTGTCAAATTCTCTATGAAAAACGAAAATCGAAAGTGGCTTCACCTTATGGGCTTTGCACCAATCCTTAACATAAATGTCATAAATTTGATTTTTAGAGTGATATTCTGGCAAGAGGTATTTTTTCGTAGTGGCGGCTCGGCAGTAATGAGACTCCATTACAGGAAGGGAACCGAAAAATGAATTGAGGCATTCTCTTTCTTCAACAGAATTCTGATTTCGCTTCTTCTTCGAATGTGTATTTAAAGCGATAGGTTTATTTAACCAATTGTTAACCGAACCTCTTCCAATATTTAATGTGTTTATAAAGAAGGTTTTACACACGCGTACGGTTTTATTGTCCAGTTTAAAGTGATATCTCAAAGAATTTTTTCTTCTTGATTCTGACGTGTCTTTTCTATTTCGGGACCGTAACGGTTTATCAATATCGATCAAAGTGCTAACATAAACTTTTTTTTGATGCCAATTCATCCGCCAGAATTCTTTGAAAATCTTTTGTCTATTTTCATCACTCACCTCTAAGCATTTCATTGTTGTACCATAGCTACTTTTTACACACCGACATCTTTCTTTCATGATTCGTGGCTGTTTTACTTTTTCATAGTTCCAAGAATTATCACCTTTTTGTTTTCCATAATAAGTTTTGCCATTTTCTCTTAATTTTTTATTTTTTTCCGAAAACCACTTAAAGTTTTGAACTTGTACCCTCTTCCTGCGTTTCCTTGTTTTCTTTCGTAGCTCAAAAGAGTCTTCGGAATCACTATTAAAGCCATAAGGGACAAGACCAAATACTCCATCATCCGATTCAATGCCGTACTCGTCAATAGGGTTGCTATCACCGTCAAAGGACATGGTAACCTTTTATAAATACATATAAATACATACATATGTACATAAATAATCAAAAATAATAATAGTAATTGCTAACCTTGAAATTGACCAGATTTTCTTGTTGTAAACCCTTAATACAAATCGAATTCGATAGCGTTAAAAAAAAATATTAATATTTTTTTGGACTTATCAAATTTTCTGTGACTACTTTGGACTTAGCAATTTTGCACATCACGGAATAAAACGGGTAGAAATACAACAAGTAGTTAGATCCTTTCAGAAACGGTGCATTTTCAGTTTTCCTTGCTTCCTGCATCAAAAACTAATTTTTCATAAAAAGTGGACTTAGCAACATTTCACTCTAAGCTAGCGATATGCAAAATATCCCAGTGGGAAAATGGAAATGTATTACCTTTTTCTTATATTCAAAAGATGTACGAAAACGAACAATAGAAAAGATGAAACCATAAGTAAGCGAAGAAGAAATGTGTTGTTTTACCGCGTTCTTCTTCTGACAGCGATTTATTGACGTTTGTTGTACACCTTTTTCCCATTTTCTTTTTCCTCTCTATTTGGCTAATGCAAAACCAAGCGCAGCGTCCATTTTCTATACGCTTTATTTCTAATTTCGTTCTGTTCTGGTGCGCTCAGTTGAAATTGCTTGAAACGTTTTCTTTTGTTCTGGTGCAGATAATATAATCTATACATAGTATAAAGGAAAGTCGAGATTCTTTGTATTCTACTCAGACTTATACACCTTGGTGATCGAATATCGTCTCCATCCAGAATTTGGAACATGACACCCTCCAAAGTGCTTCATTTTATTGACAGCTTATGGTTGGAGTGACTTGATAAGGGTTAGCACAATAGATCTAGCTAGCTTGCAGCGCTATAAGTGATTTGTGTTATTTATTATTACTCTGAAGGCATTATATTCGTTTTTGGTTTTAAAAACTATGTTATAACAAGATCTAGTTTTTAAAACAAAAGATTTTTTAAGCCGATTTCATGAATTTTATAAAAAAAATGGCGATTTTTGGCGATCTTTTTTCCAGATATGGCTCTTTTCTTTTTAAACAATCTGGATACCCTGGTAACGATTACTAATTGGCAGCCGTGTACATTTTGATATGCTCCTAATATAACTAGTAAACAAGAGTTCCAAGAAAATATTAACATACAAGCAGCACCACTTCCAAAAGCATTTAAAGTATCGGACATCAATTTTCAAAATTATTGATTTGATTATCATGTCCTCTTGAATCGATCCGCCTTTATCTATCCACAAAGTTAACGTTTCTCGAGGAAGTATTAACTTGAATAGCGATTCCTACAAGAAAATGATAGAATGGAATGGATTTGAAAATACTGAGCGAGAACAGCGAGAATATCATTGTTCGGACAAAAATATTCAAATTCCAGGTAAACATTTCGATGCCTAGGGGTACTACATATCGAGCCTTAACCGCCAAAAAGATGCAAGCGATATTTTTTTCAAAATTTTATTTTTGATGCAAAAATGCATTTAGATTCTTGGTCAGTGATGGGTACACTAACACTATCACATTTTGAGCATGTGGTGTTGTCTTTTGCTGAGAGCGAACGGTTCGGCCTTCAGTCGATTACTTCAGTTGAAACGATCGACCCAGCAAACAATTTGGTAATCGTTTTGCAAATCAAGCTTAAAATAAGCTTGCTTGAATAGGCTACTGCGAGCCTTTTTAACCAAGCTTAAAATAAGCTTGCATGAATAAGGCTTTTGCAAGCGTTGTAAGTTCGACATTTACAAAATATTTGGTATTGTAAGTGTTTTCCGAATGTCGTTTAGATTTTGCTTGGCAAAGCAACCGTTTTATAAATATCGACTAGATTTACTGTTATGTTTCAGCGCAATCAAACAATAAATTTGTATAACTCATTCTAGTTTTGATTTCTGCAAAGTAAAGAGCTGAAAATATTGAACTTTTACTGATATAAAGTAAGTGAAAAAGTGAAGTTGAAAAGAAAGTGCGTTTTTCTTGTTTTATATGTCAGCAGCAAAAAAACCGAGAAGTGTTGTGCGCAGGAGCAACGAAGTTTTCCAACATTTATGGAACAGTGGGGCACGCAGTTCCGTAGGGAACGAGTTTGAACGTCCAGAACAAGCGAGTTTGACGGCCTCATATAAGACATAAGAACGCTAAAACGCAGGCCGATTGATGATCCAACTGTCTCGTTAAGAAGTGGAGAATATGTCCATTATGGCTTAAAAGATTGTCTAACAGATTTTTTGCGGCTAAATAAAGTGAACACAAAGATATTGGACTTGAACTTTAACATCGATAGGTTGCCAATCTCCAAAAGGTCGCTGAAGAGCGTGTGGCCTATTTTAGGTAACGTAAATCGGACGGATTCAGTTTTTGTAGTCGCAATTTTTTGTGGACAGCCCATCTCAACAACGTTAATAAGTTCCTGGTAGAATTTGTCGAAGAGTTAAACGATCTGCTCGAAAATAGATTCATATACGAAAATAAAACTTTTGCAACAAGATGTCGAGCATTTATTTTGGATGCACCAACCAGAGCGCTTATTCTCGGGATCAAAAGACACGCCGGACAAAGGGGCAAACGAAAAGATGATCGCATGATCTTTCATTATCAAAACCGGCAAAGAAATGATGTCCGCCATCACATTCAGCAAGAATCATGCGGAAGAGAAAAAAACTTTATTTCCGAAACTTTGCGTAGGTGTACCGAATTCTTGCAGTTTGGAAACGCGCAAAAGTCTTCTTTTAATATTTTCAACCAGCTCACTAGCTTCAAAAATTTTATTTTACTTTTCAAGAAAAAAAAATTTCGCTGCTAGTGATAGCTTGATTTAAGTTAAAACTCATAAACTTTTCAAAAGTCAAATGGTTGGCAACAACAACAAATGTCAATCAATTAAACCATTGCATAGTAAAAAAAAATTTTACCTATCATTTAAACCATTTTTACTTCCATGAAAACTCAGCCAATTGGTCCAAAATTTTTATAGACGATATTTGAGAATAAAATGAAAAAATATGCGAACGGCGCCCAGTGAAATTGATAGCGTTTTCTTTTCTACCGAAAAATGTTGCCTTCTCAGTGCCCTCTACGCACAAGTACTAAGGAAAGGGCAATAAGAAAGCAAGAATTTTTATAGAAAATAAAGCGCCGTTCGATTTGTAAATACATATAATGGCACCCTTAAGCTGCATATATACATACGTATACATATGCTCGTATGTTTGAAATGTTTTACGGCGCATACCTTTAACTTTAAATCGCCAGCAATAAAATGATTACTTTTCACACGAAACTCTAAGCCCAGTCGTGATACTTCCAGTGCCTCACGCCCAAAAGTAATCGTATCGTAGGGTCTCAGATAAGAGCGGCTCGCTGGTTCACCATTAATCAGCCAATTTAGATGACATGCCGGCTTAGATGGTGCTGAGGTGCAATTCAAACGCACAAGTTCGCCTATGTTATAGCGCAAGTAGCCGCCAGTGATCCTTGGACCGTGATTGGGTGTTACTGCAATGAGAAAAGTATGAAAACGACATTATTCCTTTTATTTTCTTGATAAATTAAACTGAAAATTTGTTTATTGTATGTACATATATATATGGGAAATGAGCATAGAAGCGGACGGCAATACTAAACGTACTACGACCGAAATTAACGAAACGCCGCAATGTTTCGACTATAAGGAGGCAGGTAGACAAAAGTCATGGTGACAACTGATAAAAAAAACCGATTGGACTTAGAGAGGGAAAAGTAAAAGTCATAAATATCAAATTTCACATTATTTACTCACCCCCCTTCTTTACGAACGATACATTTCCAAAAAAATGCGGGAATCGGCGCGATACCGAATAATCAGTTTAGTTGCTTTTGGTGATTAACCAATTGAAGAAAGTGTTTCTTTTTGAACTGTAATGAATTATTCAAGTGTCGTGGAATGTTCAGGTGAAGGTATTTATCATTTATTTGGTACTTTCCTATTTTCTTACCAAAAAAGTTGTAGATGCTAAAGATTATTAGTAAAAAAAAAGTGTGAGTACCGGTCTGTCAGGTCTTGAAATTAGACGAATGTTTTAGAGAATTTTATGTAGTTTTCGAATATATAGTTTGATCTTTTCGCGCGACTTTGCAAATATATGTAATATTTGATATTCTTAAATTTTGATTTTCAATTTCTTTTTGCATAATTTCGCGAAAAGAATTTTTCGAACAAAAAAGCGAGTATTTAAACCTAGGTAATTTTATGGAACAACCTTTGTTTTCTGAGAGTGGAAGGCAGGAAACAAAAACTAACCAAAATTCCATCACATTTAATGACTGGGCCCACATTTGTTATGAACTTTGGATGTTATAGTTAACCAATCTTCCCCATATTTTATATTTAGGGGTTTCTGATACAAGAGGGAATACAAACTAAATTTCATAGAAATCGGATGAAATTTAATGTTTCCCACAAGAGTAGAAGGCGTGGCAATTATTCCATCTATACCATATTTTATAATTCCCTATTTCTAAGTTAAACTAGAGCACATGTCAATTTTCAGCGAAATCGGTGCAGGTTTACTATTATTTCCACCTGTCGAAACACTGTGCGCCGGGTTCTGCTACCCAAGTGAGCAGGGCAGAGGGAAAAGCCTCAAAATTTCAAAAGTAGTGGCAGACTTGCAAAAATAGTAAAAAAACCCTAATTTCGTTTACGCCTTTCCATAATTGTAAAGCGAAGCGCCCGTGATTTGTTGTTTTTTTACATCTGCGCATCATAGTCAGTGTTGCCACTCACTCCATTTATTTTGAAGCAAAAGATGTAGCAAATCTTATTGAACTGTAGCCGAATTTTTTTGAAGCTTGTAGTTATATTTAGAGATCACCGCTTATTATTGGTTTATTTAATGAACAATATTGTTCTGATACATATGAAAAATATCCACATTAGTCAGTCCATTTTTTGAGTATATAATATAATATTAACAGTGTGTTTAGAGATTGAATGATCAAACTTTGTGAGTGTATTTCGGACCCAAAAATACGCCAAACACTCCTTATGAAATGTTCCCCATTTTGGTTTCCTAATCCTGTAATTACCGTGCAAAAATCATACACAAGCGTAATATCGGGATTTTGCGAAACATTCCCTAAGGTGTCCATTCAAACACTTCAATCACTGACTGACATCAGGGGGAGATTCTGTAACCAGTTATCGATAAATTTCGGATCCCTATCGCACTTTTTGATGCAACAACATTCATAGCGATAGCGATCCGAAAATTGTCTCTAACTGGTTACAGAATCTCCCCCTGATGTCAGTCAGTGATTGAAGTGTTTGAATGGACACCTTAGGGAATGTTTCGCAAAATCCCGATATTACGCTTGTGTATGATTTTTGCACGGTAATTACAGGATTAGGAAACCAAAATGGGGAACATTTCATAAGGAGTGTTTGGCGTATTTTTCATTTAATTTGAAAATGGTTTCGCTTGTTTGAAAATGGCTTAATTTAATTTGAAAAAAGTTTCATTTAAACTGAAAATGCTATACAGACAGTTGGAATACACAGTCAAAAATTTGGGTTAAATTTTTAAACCGAGCTTAGACTGACGCGTTTTTTAATCTTTTATAGTCTACTTTTTAAACCAGTCAGTAGTTTTAAGCAATTTTTAATATATTCTGGTTTAAATTTTAGGCCAAGCAGCCGATAAAATGATGTTTTGCTATGAGTGGTTTAAAATTAAAACCAAAAAGCTCGTGGTTTCAAATATAGGCCCTATTTGTTTAAAAATTAAACCAAAATGTTTTAATTCTACATAGTTTCTACGTTTCATATATAGAAAATTTTGTTTAAAATCTAAACCGAAATAGAAAATGTTTGCCTCAATATGCCTTATTTTATATGACCTATAAGACTTATGGTCTGATTATGGCAAGTTAACGTAACTTACGGCTCTCTCTTAAAAATTCTGTTAAATGGGTGTTGCTTATAATTGAACAGCCGAAACGTAACGCAACTTAATGCCACGTCGAAATCTGTTTCATTTTGATTCTCTAAGTTCTACGTTCCGTTAAATTAAGTTAAGTTGCCATAATCAGGCTTTTAGGCATACGAGTTGACGTTTTTAACGTCATTTGGACGTTTGTTGTATCCTGTTGACGTTTGGACGTTTTTTGTGTAAAAAATTACGTTTTTTGAGTAAAAAATTACGTTTTTTAACTTCCCAGTAATTTTTCTCTGTTATTAAATCTTGGAAGAAGAACTGATCTTGAATTATTTTCTTAATAAATCTTTACAAGCTTTGTGTTTTGCAGCAGCTACTTCAAAAGATATTTATTCTTTGGACGCAGATGACTTAAATATGATGCATACCAAGCGTACGCGCATTTTTTTTTGGATTCTTGGACTAAGGATACCGTGTTCAAAGGCTGATTGTGTAAGCACTTGAGGTAACGAGGCTTATTGTAATGTTTGCAATTGCACATTAAAAGCCAAATCAGGAAGAGCTGATCTCTTGCAACACGCACGCTCGCAAAGGCATCAAAAAAGCTGAAGCAGCATAAAAAGTCAGAAAAGAGTAGGCGACTTTTTTAAGACTTCATTGAAAATGTAATGAACGCAAAAAAGGCTGAAATATTGCTCCTTCTTAGCAGAACGTAATTTAGCATTTTCGACCACAAAACAAAAGAAAAAAAAATGTTAAAAATCAACGCGATTATTTAGCTTCTTAAATTTGCACATTATTGACCTAAAATTTAATGGGCTATCAAACTGCATACTCAAAAAATTCTAAAAAACCTAAATAAAAAGTTGAAAATCCAGCTGAAGCTTTGCAGATTTTTTATAATTTTTGCACAAAGTTTGAAATGCGGATTTATATTTTGTTTGTAATATAATGAGCTTGGCTTAGATGGAAAAATAATAAACATTAAATAAACAAAAGAGAAACAGCCAAAATTTATCAAATGGTGATGACTTAATCAGCTGATCACAAGTGTACGTGTAAAATAATTTTTATATTAACGATCTCAAACCAGTTTACAATGAATTTTAAATGTGCTCTGTCAAATGACATTATACCTTACGTACATATGTACCTTTGTATATAATAAAAGTTTAATAAGAAAAATTGTTTGTACATTCATTTGAATAAGACGTTTTTGGGTAGGAAATGACGTTTTTTCACGCCAAGAGAGACGTTTTCTCATGCCTAAGACCTGGCAACACTGACTGTCGGCATCAACACAGCAAAATGTGGTGTTGATTCAAACTCAACATTTGAAAACACATTTACATGCATGGCTGTAGCTGAGTGTGCACAGATGCTTGATACAATTGGTTGCTACCAAGGCTGTCCGGGCTCAATCCCCATCAGACGCAACATGAAATTTAATAATTTTTTTTATTCTTAATTATGAAAAAGCTTTCATGAAGTGTAACGTGAAGCAAACGAAATAGAAAATGTTTGGGTTTAAAATTTAAACCGAACTGTTTAAATTCTAAACCCAACGTATATGCTCTCTTTTTTTTAAACTTGGAAGGTTTGTATTTAAGACTAAATTTAGTTTGGTCATATATGTAGTCCAAAAAGTTTAAAATTAAAACCGAAATTTTTAACCGTGTACCGCAGTATAACAATTTCCAAACATTGGCTGGTATGAATAAAAAGTATAATCTTTTAATTTAGTACACAATTTGTAGAATGTTCTACAAAGTAGTATGGGACGTATTCTTAAAATGCTATTTACTACACTACTCTGATCAGCTGTTTTCGAAGATACTACAAATGTCTCAAAATGGTATGAATAAAATTAGCATATACTACAATTTTTATGTAGCAAACAAAGTGGTAGACTACAATTAATTATAATTATTATTTTAGCTATTGTACTTTATAAATTATGGCTGTGTTTATACAAATAAATGAAAGAAATCGGAAGTGTTATAAGCAGGGAACGGATTTTTAGGACCTAAAAACCTATAAAAAAGGCAAAATAAAATAACGAAATAGGCTGGAAAAGGCAACATAAAATAGCGAAAAAGGCAGGAAAAGGCACCAGGTATTGCAAAAAAGGCAAAACCAAATAGCGAAAAAGGCAGGAAAAGGCACTAGGTATTGCAAAAGAGCAAAATAAGGCACTAAAAAAGTCAGAAAATACGAAGAACAATAAAAAAATACATTTATTTTAGAAATGTTTATATTACAAGTAAAAAGAGGAAAAATATAAACTAGTTTCATTATATCGTCGTTTAAAGTACAAAACCGCGTATCGTCATTCTGAAAAACCGCGTAACTGACAATGGCTGCCAAAAATTGGATTTGCTCACATAAGCTCTTGGCTCAATCCTATAAAAAAGAGAACCATTTTGAAATATGAGTGTTTTTACCCTCTAGAAAATAATTTCTACAACTTCACATACGCGGTTTTGCACTTTAAACGACGATATGAAAATTTGTACTTTGATTCTTTGACTATTTTATCCTTTCGAGTTTCTAACTCATAAAAATTTAATCTGTATAGTT